TGTGTGTGTGTGTGTGTGTGTGTGTGTGCGTGCGTCAGGTGGTGGAGAAGCTGATCCGCGGCCTGGATATGGAAGACAGCAGGAACATGTTTGCTCTGTTCGAACACAACGACACCATAGAGAAAGCCATCGAGAGCCGCACAGTGGTGGCTGACGTCCTCGCCAAGTTTGAAAAGTAAGTGTGCGAGTGTGTGTGCGAGTGTGTGTGCGTTCTTTTGAGTGTTGTCCGTTATTAACTCGCTCTCTGGCCTCCAGGCGATCAGAGATTCCAGACGAAAACAACACTGGCTGGAAGTTTTACTTCAAGCTCTACTGCTTCTTGGACACGGACAATGTTCCCAGAGACAGCGTGGAGTTCGCCTTCATGTTTGAACAGGTGAGACGAAGCTGCCGGCCAATCACTTCACTGCCGTGCAGAGCCGACTGACAGATGATCTATGGAAGCTGTCCGATGATTATTGTGTAGAATTCACACTAATGTCTGTCATCTGACTGTGAACTAAATAAGAAACTGATCAAACTAAAAATCTATTTTGATTCAGTTTTCCATAATTTTGTTTAAGCAGTTTTATTTGTATCACAAATCGAGAAATGTTGCTCAACAGCCGCTCGACTCCAGACAGTTGTGTCTCTGAACGCTGGGAAGTGTAACAGTAGCTTTGGTTTAAGAAGTTCTGTGTCTGCTGTCTACAGGCCCATGAAGCCGTCATCCGTGGTCGGTATCCGGCCCCTGAGGAGACTCTTCAGTTCCTGGCTGCCCTGAGACTTCAGTACCTCCTGAGAGATCACAGCTCCCAGGCTAACGTTCCAGAAATGTCCCAGGTGTTCCCCATGGCGCGATTACGGGCCCGGGTGCAGAACTCGGCCAAGACATTTGCCCCAGGCACCGGCTCGGTGGCCGACCGCTCGGGCACAACGGAGAGGAAACGCTCGAGCTTCCTGGAGGGAACACTGAGGCGGAGCTTCAGGAGCGGCTCGGTGAGTCGGCAAAAGCTGGAGGAGGAGAACAGCCTGGAGGCCTGGATGAGGGAGGAGGCGGCGGCGGTGAGAACCAGTGTGATGGACAAGTGGAAGAAACTGCAGGGGATGAACCAGGAGCAAGCCATGGTGAAATACATGACGCTGGTGAAGGAGTGGCAGGGATACGGGTCCACGCTGTTCAACGTCGAGGTGAGTGGAAATCATTCCATAGGACTTTTTATCATCAAAACGCAGCTGTGGCGAGTTTGGAGCCAATTCTGAGTAAACGCTTGGGAAAGTCTCCATTAGATTGGATGAGTCCAAAGCTGCGTCAATCTCCCTGTCGTCTTTAGCAGCCAGACCTCAGTGTGCTCTATCTCGTTTCAGTGTCGGGACGGATCGTTCCCCTGCGACCTGTGGTTGGGTGTGAGCCGAGAGGCCATATCAGTGTACAAACGGGGGGAGCCGTGGCCTCTGGAGGTTTTCCCATATGAACAGATTCTCTCCTTCGGCGCCCCGCTGCCCAATGCATACAAGATCGCCGTGGAGGGCCGAGAGCTGGTCTTCGAAACCCAAATGGTTCGTACAACAAATGCTCCTTCAAAACTTTTGGTTTTTCTTGACGTTGACATTATGTGAATTTTTTTAAAGAATAATATCAAAACCGTCAGATCATTTTTCAGTCGTCCAAATGCTCATATTCACATTTTCAAAGTTCAAACTACAAACGAGCTCCGCACAAATTGACTAAACCATCGCGACCGAGTCAAAACTATCAACTCTGTAGAAATCTAAAAGATCAGGAAATGAAACACCACAAATGTTGCTCCTCCTCCCCTCTGCAGGTCATGGACATTGCCAAGCTGATGAAGGCCTACATCAGCATGATCGTCAAGAAGCGCTACAGCAACTGTCAGTCCGTCAGCAGCCACGGCAGCCACGGCAGCCAGTGCAGCGCCTGGTGAGGTCTGCCCTTTGAATCCTGACCTTATGGCTGTGTGCCGGAGCACCGCAGAAGGGCCGAGCGCGGCTGCCGCTGGGCCACGTGTAGATGCTCGTCCTTAGCGTTGGTGAAAGAGCAGCTTGTACATTAGACTCTGTGAATGCTGAAGACAAACCCCAATGCTCTTAATGTTAACTCCCTCAAATGATCGTTTTGACTGGTCACATTCCAAAACACCACATCGCCACACCCGACAGATCAGAACCTTGAAAGAAGGACGGTTAGAAATCATTTCAAAATGGAAGGAACAACGACCAAAGCCTTTTAGGAGAATTTCCCTGATTTGCCAAAAAGCAAGAAACAACTGGAAAACACAGATTTCTAATACAGGCAAAATGCTCACAGCACAAGAAGCAGTCATCGTGCAGAGCTTAAACTGGAATCAAACCTGTAGCTATTAGAATCACGTGTCAACGTTTGTAGTAAATCTTTCAGTTTGAAGGAGTCATTGATTTCATGTTGAGATTTTCTAAAGCTTGCACTCAAATAGATTTACTCTGCTTGTGCTCAAGGTGTGTATCTGCACTCAGATATTTTGTTGCCTGGGCAGATTTCCTGCGCTCCAGCTTCAGCTCTTCCTCATGCGCTGCTGCCCTCCCCGGCTTTATTATAACACATCGCAAGAAAAGCTAACGCACCCACAACGAGGGCGGGGCAGTTTCTTTCATCATCCCGACACCTGGCATTCTGTCGGTTCTTCTATTTGACAGACTTAAAATAAATCCGAGAGCAGAGAGTCAGAGGAGACACGTATCGAGCACACAGAAGCAGCATGAACGTGAAGATGGAGTGAGTCTGAGTGCAAGCACATAGATTGAGCTCAAGCAGCGGCTGTGTGAGGAGGGTTTTAAGGAAAATTATGACAAAATCTGAACGTGAAATCAAAAAGTCCCGCTCTCCAACTTAAAGACCACACTCTTGAATAGAAGGAAAACAAAAATCTGTTGGTCTAATATAAATCAAATATAAATATACAAGAAATTCCACTTCTCCAACACCAAAGAAATCAGTTTAAATTTAACAGGACGTTGTTTTCTCATCAGTTCAACATTTCAAAATGTGGTCGTGTCTCGTTTGGGAATAAGCTCCTTTCTACCTGATGCTAACATGACTATGGCACAACAAGGACTGTTGGGGGGTGGGTTGTTATCGGGGGTTTTGTGTGTGTCTCTGTGTGTTTGTGTGTCTGTGTGTGAGAGAGCTGTGTCGACAGGCTGTTTGAATGTGAAAAAAACGAAAGCAGAGAGCCTTCAC